TGATCTGGCACATACCCAGTCTGCACCCACTGCTGCGAACAGCCGTCTTCACCAAATCCAACCTAACACATTTGTGATTTTGGGGCACTTCTGTTCTTTTGTTTCTTCTTTTCTTTTTTTGTGCTCAGGTTTTTCTGGTTTCCCAGGCAGAAGGGTGCTGTGGGGGAAAGTGGATTAGCCCATCCCACAGCACCACCAGAGTGCTAATTATCTGTGTGGGGCTGCTAATCAGACAAAGCCTACTCTGTTGCACATAAAATCTCCTCTCTCTCTCTCTCTCTCTCTCTCTCTCTCTCTCTCTTTCTCTCTCTCTGTGGGGTATGAGTGAGCGAGTGAATTGTGTTTGGGGGTGGATAGAGCTGGAATATGCATGGTGCTCTGTGAATGTCACAGTGAAATACAGGCTGCACTGTGTGTTTGTACGGCGCGTGTGTGTTTCTGTGCTAATGTGGGGGAGCGAAAGATCAAATATTCATGGTTTTGGTGCCACACTGATTGTTGATGGATGAGAAGTTGTCTTAGTTGTTTTCGTTTAATACACGGTACGTCACTATTCAATACAGTACATTGCAATACGGTGATGTAATTGGACTGCTATCAAAAGGGCGGCAAACACCAGATTTGCAGAGTAGATTTTATATTTGATGAAAAACGTACTTCACGACCATTAAAAACAAGAAAGATATTTTGATCTTTTTTTTTTTTGTCCGTTCAATAGATCTGTCTGTTCTGTATATCATTATATCATCTTATCTATCATTCAACAGTATCTATCTATCTTGCTATCTTCCATTCTATCGTTCTGACGTTCTATCATTTGTTCTATCTAACGTTCTGTCTTTCATTCCATCTTAACGTTCTGTCGTTTGTTCTACATATCTAACATTTTGTCTTTCGTTCTACCTATCTAACGCTCTGTCGTTCGTTCTAACATTCTGTCGTTCCTTCTAACGTTCTGTCATTCCTTCTAATGTTCTGTCATTCTAACGTTCTGTCATTCCTTCTAACGTTCTGTCATTCTAACGTTCTGTCATTCCTTCTAACGTTCTGTCGTTCATTCTAACGTTCTGAATGAAACCATGAATATTTGATCTTTCGCTCCCCCACATTAACACAGAAACACACGCGCCGTACAAACACACAGTGCAGCCTGTATTTCACTGTGACATTCACAGAGCACCATGCATATTCCAGCTCTATCCACCCCCAAACACATTCTAACGTTCTGTCGTTTGTTTTACCCATCTAATGTTCTGTGGTTCATTCTACCCATCTTATGTTCTGTCGTCCTATCTATCGTTCTGTTGTTTGCTCTACCTATCTATTCTTATGTCATTTGCTCTACCTATCTAGCGTTCTGTCGTTCGTTCTACCTATCTAGCGTTCTGTCGTTCGTTCTACCTATCTAACGTTCTGTCGTTCGTTCTATCTAATGTTATGCCGTTCAGTCTACCTATCTATCGTTCTGTTGTTCTATCTATTGTTCTGTTGATTGCTCTACCTATTTAACGTGCTGCTGTTTGTTCTAATGTTTTGTCATTCGTTCTACCTATCTATCTGTTGTTCTATCTATTATTCTGTTGTTTGCTCTACCTATTTAATGTTGTCGTTTGCTCTACCAATCTAACGTTCTGTCGTTTGTTCTATTTATCGTTCTGTTGATCCTTCTATCTATATATTGTTCTAGCTATATATAGCAATATATAGTTCTATCATTATACTGTTCTGTCCATCTATCATTTGTTCTATTATTCTGTTGCTCGTTCTATCAATACAATATTATAGTGACACAGCCCTAGTGTTAATGTGTTGTGTGTATATATATATATAGAAGATGAAGCATTGCAATATTTGTTGCATGCTTTTGAGATGCACATTCATGTGAGCATCCCATCACAATCAACTAAAGACGTGCTTGTGAGAACAAAAAAAAGTTTTGTCTCTCCCTCTCATCCATACAGCATAGAGAAAATATCTGCTCCTCTCTCTGAATTCTGGAGTGTTGGTATCCTGTCCTCCCCCTCCTCATCTATTTTTAATTCTAATAGCCTTTCCTGTGTCCCTCTGCGGACCCCCCGATGGATCCCTTCAAATGTCACTCGTATTACAAATAGAGAAAAGGGCTTATGTCATCTCTTTTTCATAATGTGGCCTGAAAAAAAGCTCACTCCTGCCAAGTATGTATGTTCTTGCTTGTTGCTGAGGTCTTGAGACTAGCTGTCAAGAGTTTGTGTGATTTCTTTGTTCCTCGTCTCTTTTCTCTCATGCATATCAAATCATGAACCCATTATAGACTGTAGCAAGCATTTGTTAGCATCAGCCTTCACAGGTTAATCAGCCGAGGGGTTGGCGTATCAGATCTGCGAGGCGGTGTTTGGCTTATCGCGCCGCAGTGCTGTTCACCCGTGTTCAGCTCTGCTCGGTTCTTATCAGATGTGGCGACTGGCGCAGCAGCAGCTGGAGGTGTTCCTCCCACATACCCAAGCGCAGAGTTGTGTATCGTCGGCCCATCTAAATGGGAAGAGAGCGTCCGCATGTGTCCCTGGCCTGCCAACCTCCACCCCATCCTCCCAGCCCTGCCTTTTTGTCTCTGATTACTGTGGAACATATCCGTGCCCGGAGCTCCGGGACACTGATGGATAGACAGCAGGAGAGCGGAGACTGTCTCTGAATAGCGCTCTTTTCGTTTAGTTTTATTTATGAGCTCATGTCAGGCACGTTCTTCAGCAGTGAAATTCAAAGAATGGCCTGTTCGATATCTGCCATCTGAGTAAGCATGTTTGCCACTTAATGATACTAGAGTGGGGTGATTTTTGTGGGGAAAATCGATCGATTGATACACATCTATTTGTTTTCGCTCGATTTGAATTCAAATGATGTGGCACATTCTTCCCTCTGTTTTTTCTCTCCCACTCTCTGCTTTTCTCTTTCACTCTCTATGGAGGGTGAAATGTTATAATTAGCTCTAGTGCTTAAAAGACCCAGTGAAATCGTTTGGGAGTTCAGTTTCTTTCCTTTAACAAATTCTTTGTTAACAGTCTCTTGTGCTCACCAAGGCTGCATTTATTTGATCAAAATACATTAAAAACAGTAACATTGTGAAATATTATTAGTTCTATTATATATATTCTATTTAAATAGATTTTAAAATGTAATTTTTTCTTGTGATGGCAAAGCTGAATTTTTCAGCATCATTACATTACAAATTAATATTTTGGCCAGTCTTAGTATGCTTTCAGCCAGTGTTAATTTCGTCAACGCAAGCAGTCATTACTCCAGTCTTTAGTGTCACATGATCCTTAAGAAATCATTCTAATATGCTGATTTGGTCCTCAAGAAACATTTCTTATTATTATACGTGTTGAAAACAGTTGTGCTGCTTAATAGTTTTGTTGAAACGGTTTTTTTTCTCTCTGACCAAGAGAAACCTCTCTCAAAGGACTCTTTGATCAATAGAAAATTCAAAAGAATAGCATTTATTTGAAATAGAAATGTTTTGTAACATTATAAATGTCTTTACTATCAGTTTAATGCATTCTTTCTGAGTAAAAGTATTAATTTCTTTAAAAAAAAAAAAAAAATGTACCCAAACTTTTAAAAGGTAGTGCAACAAAAATTGTGTATATTTTTATTAAAACATTTTTTTTTGATGTAATGTTATATTTATCACAAGCATATAAATACCCTTGCAGCCAAAAGACAAAGACACTAGGATTCATGAAGTCCATCTGGCATGGCTAATATATACAGTAGCATGGTGTGTGTTGCTAGCATAGCGCACCTCAGTCCTGCTTAAATAGTGTGATGCCCTCCTGGTTCTTAATCAGGAATGGAATGGAGCCTGTGCCAAATCTCAGCAGGGCTCGCCCAGGTCTCGCACGTCACTGAACATGACCTTGGGCCACCGTTGAGTTTCTGCAGCCATGTGCCACATGAGTCAGTCAGTTACTTGTCAGCATGCTGACTTTCCTGAACATATGAACTATGATTTGGGCCTAGAATTTTCTCTGTTTCATATTGACAGACTTGCTTTTTGGAGGGTAACCATGGCATCAGCCGTCCCATCTGCAGCTTTGTGGCTGCTAGTCTAGCGTTGCACGACTGTAATTGAGTAAAAGGATGCAGGTGCTTTGACTGAACACAAACTGCCTCTTACTGATTGTCTCCTCCATATTTTGCTATTTGTGTGCGCTGTAACTTTGCGTAAACGGTGAATTGTGTCTCCTCTTCCTGAGCTATTCATTCATCACAGCTGCAGTCTAATTAATGTCATTTCTCTGCTTGAAGATGATGAAGCCTTTCTTTCATCTTTGTGTGTGTGTATTTGTGTCTTCTCTCCTCTGAGTTTATACAGGATGGATATTTTTAACCAACTTTGATTTGATTATTTGCCATCTTTTGACTCTCTCTTTTGGTTCCTTAAGAACCAATGCTCAGTGAATTTTTGCAGGCAAAATGCTGGCATTTCAATAGGAATCCACATGATGGAGAATTTCACATTAGAGCGAAAGATTTCTACAGAAAGCTGCTTGGTTTGAAAGTGACTTCTGTGTGAGCTGTGCTTTATACATTGCTACACCATTTATAATGAACCTTTTTGGCTACAAATTTTTGCTAATGTGACCGCACCTTTTCTGGTACTGTGGCAGCAACATAATCCAGTTTTGATCCCAGCCTAAGCCACTTAATAAGCAGACCTTAAATGGCCCATGCTTAACATGAGCATGAATATGATAATTTTTTGGTACTTTTCTGTTAGTTCTTCTGTGGATGTTTGGAGCCGTATCCAGTTGATTTGGCACAGGTTTCTGATCATTTAGACCGGAAAGTCTGTAGAGATACCTCATTTGGCTCATGATTTTAAGGCCCACATATATCCACGCGTGTGTGTGATTGCTAATGAGTTTGTCGATTTATCAGGAAATTATGTTTTGAGAGTGCATTAACGGGTGTTGAGAGTCTTATGTGGCTTTAAGTCAACCGTCTCCTGTGCTCTGCAGGTCAGTTCCAGTAAGGCAGCTGGGAGTGTTCAAGCCAGCTCTGCCGGAGGGGCTGTGGCAGGTGCTACGGCCACTGGAAGTTCTGCTCCAGCACAGGGAGATCTGGACCTGTTCAGCGAAACCAGCGGGAGCAGCAAAGCAGAGGAATCGGCCAAGAAACCTCTCTCCAAGGACTCCATTCTCTCCCTGTATGGCTCCAGCACCGTCCCACAACAGCCTGCACAAGGTACATCCATCCCCCCAGAGTCCCACTTTCTTATTCCTCAGAGAATGAGCGATCTGAGCGAGAAAAGGCTGATCTATAAATGGCGCTTTGCGTCCTGAGTCCATTTCTAATGGTGCAGTGGGAGTGTGTGTGTTTGAGAGAAAGAGAAAGCAAGCGAGGTTCTTGAGAAGCCCTGCTTTAATGGGGAGTATCAATAATTCAAGCACTGTGTGTCTCAGCACTCTGATACTGCTGAACGAGGTTTAATGCTGCCTGCTTCTCCTGCCCTGCTCTTCAAAGAGGACATTTCCCAAAACCTCAGATGCTCAAAATGAAGACTCCACCATCAGGATGCTTTATATGTCCCCTTTCATCCTGCACACCTCTCTTGTCTCAAAGATCCATTTCCTCTGTGCTTAGGGCAAGAAACTGCACACATTAGCACAGATATTGAATGCTCTCCTCTGCCTGTGATGCTTTGTGTGTTCGTGTCCTCTGGTCTGCTTCTGTTTTTGTCTCTTTGAACATATTGAACATGGCGTTGTGTGTAAATCTTATTTGTGTACCTTTGTGCAATTCTGCTCCCACAGCGACTGCGATGTTCATGGGCCCGTCTCAGATGCAGTTCCCTGCGCAGCCACAGGGGAACTTCCAGGCTTTCCCCGGGATGGGAGGAGCCATGCCGCCCACTACCATGATGGGGGCTGTCATGGGCCAGGGTGGCGCGATGATGGGCCAGAATACGGGCATGATGGTTGGCATGACAATGCCTAACGGTTTCATGGGCAACGCACAGCCGGGGGTGATGGGCTTGGCTCCAGGCATGATGGGACCTCAGGGCATGGTGGCCCCTCAAAACATGTATGCCATGCAGCCAGGTCAGCAAGGACAGTGGAATGTGGCACAGGTATGTTCTGGTGCTGGAAGCAATTTACTATAAATAAAATGTCCCTACAGTGAAATGAGTGTCTTATGAAATCACACCTGTCTCTGTGACGGCTCTGGTGGGGGGGGGGGAAGGTTCAGGTAGTGGCCTGAAAAGATGTATCATGGTTTCCTCCAAAATAATAAGCAACATAACTGTTTTCAACATTGATAATAAGAAATGTTTCTTGAGCAGCAAATCGATTTCTGAAGGATCATGTGACTGAAAAAACATTAAAATAGAAAACAGTTGTTTCAGATTGTAATAGTATTCTATTCACAATAGTACTATATATTTGATCAAATAAATGCCACCCAGGAAGATACTGTACATCTAAAACATTCAAAACTACCTTTATATTGTTTTATAAAGATGGTAATTAGATAAGAATATACTGTGCTGTAATGTTAAATTAAGCCCTTATGAAACTAGTTGTACTTTTGAGTTTGGATTGGTAGGTCTGTCGAGTGGTAATCTCGTTGAAAGCAGATAACAGCTAGTTAGCTCCATTGCAAAAAGGAAAGAGCCTGTCAATTTTGCCTGTCAGAGTATTCAAAAAGCTGGCAAAACGAATGATAAATGCAATCATATCATGAGATAAACAGAACAAAAAAAAAATGATGTTGGTGAAAAACAGGGGACCTGAGAAATGTGTTAATTAAATACTGTTAAGTCACATGCCGGAGGTCAAGAGCTTCAGGTGAGGTTCATAATGTTCTTCTGGGGTTGTATTTTTTACCAGCCCTCTCAGAATCTGCCATGAGTCATTGATATGACGCAATGACTGCAGTGGATCAGTATCTGCTTTTTATAGAGAGAACATCTATATCTGAAGCTATTACCATTCATCATATCCGATTCCCACAATGCATCTCCCAGTAACCACAAAGCTTTCCTTTTTATTCCGATCAGATCTTTCACATTTTCAAAGCCATTTTAGGTGAAAAGCGAGTTGTCACATTCAGTCTCTCTCGGTCACTCTCACCGTATAATCAGAGATTCATAATAAGGGTTTTTAAAATCCTCATCTAATCTGTTGTCACCTCCCATCTGCATGTGGCTCATTAAAGACGAGGGCTCAGTGACTCCGACCTCTCATCTTCTATCATCTCCCTGCCTCCCGTGGCCCATGACCCCCTGTGTATGAGGCTGTGAGCGGAGGGAGTCCGAGATTTCAGCCTCCGGGAGGTTAATTACACATCATAAATCAATATAGTGTGCCTTGCACTCACACGGCCTTAATTAAAATCCCTCCCCACAATGCAAGCGTGTGCGTCCTGAGTTATAGGCCTTCAGCAGCACATTTGTGTTTTGAGAGACCGGCTGAGGAAAGAAATGCGTGTGCTTAATGGTTTTTTGGAGTGAGGGTAATTTTGCCGCACGGTTCCTGGGAGGAGTGTTTTTTTTCTGAGATGGATCTGACTTGAAATGTTTTTCTTTGTTACCCAGCACACAGAGCGTCTCCCTCTTTTCTGAGGAGAGCCAGTGCACAGGGAGGAGAAGAATCATTAGCGTTTGATATTCACTCCCTTTAATACGGCTCTTGGAGTATTTACAAACACACACACACACACTCTAACGACACACTTATTTCTCTGTGCGTATGCGGTATTGTGTTGCGGAGGAAGCAGGTGTAATTATGAGATTGGCCACATTTGTCCTGCTAAATGAAGTCTAGGTCCACAGTGGGTCCTCCTGAGTATTTTGGGAAGGTTTTTTAAAACATTTTTCCCTCTATCTCACTCTAGTCATACACTTCATGGCCTAAAGAGGTTTAGTCACCTTGTGAGACATCAGAGCACTCCAGGAGTTCACGGTGATGGATAACCTCCCTCACCGCCTCAGGAAGGGGTTTAGTGCTTTGGAATTAAACACGAATAGGAGGCCGATGAATTATGTGCGTTGTAGTCTGTATTTCAAGATTGTATGGGAAAAGGCAAGTGCTACTGTTTCTGTTTATTTAAAGTGGCTTTTTTTGGGGGGGCTTTTTGTACCATATCAATATGTATTCCCTTTAATCTACTACTATTCAAACATATAGGTTCGGTGAGATATTTGAATGTTATTATAAAGTCTCTTATGCTCACCACATTTATTTGATCTTAAATATAGTAAAACAGTAAAATTGTGAAAATTTTTCACAAATTTTCAGCATCATTACTCCAGTCTTCAGAGTCACATGATCCTTCAGAAATCAATCTAATATAATGATTTGGTGACCAAGAAAATTTTCTTATATTTGAAAACATGCCAAAAGAACAGCATTTGTTTGAAATAGATTTTTTATTTTTTTTTATTTTTATAATTTCTTTAAAAAAAAATATTTGGAACGTTTGTGTAGTCTAAAAACAAACTAATTATGGTCGTAATTTCTTTTTTCATTACTGTTTTATGCAATATTTATGCAAGCTGTGTAGTTCTTAAGTCTTTTATATGCAAATGAGCTCTGTTTGGATTGGCTAATTTCACGACTTCGCTCCACAGATCCAAACATTAACGTAACATGGTATGTAAACACCAACCATCCAGTCAATTAATAAGGTTGACTATTTTAAGTGTTATATATTTTTTAAACTGTACTATAATTTAAGAGACTGAACGCAGCGTCTTTGAGAGGTTTTTAGCGTGCTAACAGTGGTTTAGTGTGCTGTTAGACTGTCAGTATGGTAAAATCACATCTCTCATCTCCCTCTAAAACACCAGCACTACAGCCATCAAAGCGACGTCTCTGTCACAAATCTACCGCATTCAACGACAGATTTCAAGACAATTACTGTCGGACTTGTTGCACTGATCATGTGCTGTGAGCCGTGTTCCTGTTATCATCCACAGTTCTCTGTAAAGAGATTAGTTTTGAGTAATAAAAGATTGCAATTTATTTTAGCCTTTGCCAGACCACCAGCTTGACTGGTGGATCATATAGTTTTTGTACATCCATTGTCAACATAGTACACAGCAAACTCTTATAAAAAATCCTGTTTTCTATTATATATCCATTTTGACAGCTGGATAAAGATTGCGCAAACTTTAGTTCCCAGAATTCAAGTTAATAATGAAAAATAGGAGACCGCTTATTTGAAACCATTACTTTTTCTCTCTCTGCTGGCTATAAGCTGTAGAGACAGGAGTATAAATCAGACAGACGTGTCTGATGGGCTGCCCCGCAGGACCAGTCAGGAAGAATACTGGTGGAAGTCAAGGGAAAAGGGTAGAGGTATAGAAAATGAAAGAGAGAGAAGTAGACGAAGAGTAATAAGAGGGGTGAGTGAGTTTAAAAGAGGACAGCTTAGTAACCTGAAAAGAGGAAAATGGAACTTTGGCGTGAACGGCCATCCTCAGGTGAAATTACTGATCTTATATCTGATCTGATTGTGTAAAAAAAAAGAAGCAATTATTTCTCTTTTAATAACAAAATTTCTAAATCTAGTGACCTTCATAGACGCATCTTAACAGTCATGCAATCTTGTAAGTGACCAATTTGAAATTGAAATACTTTTATTCAGTAAGGATTCATCAAATTGATCATAAGTGACAGTAAAGACATTTATATTGTTACAAATTTGTATTTCAAACAAATGCTATTCTTTTCTTTTAACTTTTTATTTATCAAAGAATCTTGTAAAAAAAAAACAATGTAGCACTCTTTTCATAAAAATATTAAGTAGCATAACTGTTTTCAGCATTGATGATAATAAGAAATGTTTCTTGAGCCCCAGATATTAGAATGATTTCTGAAGGATCTTGTGACACTGAATATTTCACAATATTACTGTTTTTACTGTATTTTTGATCAAATAAATGCAGCCTTGGTGAGCATAAAAGTTGTTTGAACTCATTTCAGTGCATTCTTGCCTTTACCGCAAAGGGCACATGTAATGCTAGCAAAGAATTTAGCCGAAATTAGGTATTTTTAGGAGAAACCCTTTTTCTGTTGGTTTTCTGTCGTCCATGATGCCTTAAAATGCTTCCTCTGTAGGTTTTGGACCAGCGCAAATTATTCTAACAAGTCTGGTATCTATAGATGTTTCACCCTTCTCTCTCTCTCTGCTTTGTCTTTTTCAGATTAACCAACAGATGTCTGGAATGAACCTGAATGGTTCCGGTGCTCCAATGCCATTTGGGCCACCTGGTGCCCCTATGGGCGGCTGGGTGGCACCCCCATCTGGTCAGACCCTCAGCACCCAGCTCTGGAAGTAAATGAATGAGGGACGATGGAGGACAAGGGGCACCGCATCCCTCCATCTCTCCTGTCCTCCTCCACCACTCGCACCCAGAGTTTTATTCATGTACTGTCATTTTTTTCCCCCTTTCTCTTTCCAACTATTACTACTCTGGAGAGCATTGATTCAACCTCCCCTCAGTGTATTGATCAAGTGAGCGAGAGTATGGCGTGTAAGAGACTGGCAGCTTTGACCGTCTTATTTGCAATTTTTTTTCTTCTATATATATATATATATATATATTTTTGGGGGGTTCAAATCACATATCAGCTACAAGAAAGCTGCTGGACCAATTATACAGGCTTCTAATATATCTTTACCAAATAGTGAGTCATAGTATTTAAAAGACAGAGGTATGGCTATCATATTTGTGACATCCCCCTCCTTTTCCTATCTTAGCCCCATGTCCCAGAACCCTGTAGCAGATATTGTATAGACCCATGTAATGTAATGTAATCATGAGATAGACGAACCCCTCGCCCCTCTCTCTCTGGCTTCTCACCCCACCGCATCTGTGTAGCTCCATGACAAACTCCCATCTTTACTGTGATGTTTTAATGTGTGCGTTACAGAGAAGCACAGTGGGTGAAAGATAAATAAACCTGGACGACTGTACAGCTGCGATGGCTAACGGGAAATAAGGGGTTGGGGTCAATAGAAAAGGGCTCGTGGAAGGAATTGTCGTTTTAGCCAGCTCGTTTTGACCGAACAAAAGCGCGCAGTCGAACACGTCAGTCCCGCCGCTGTAGCAGAGCTTCTATCCTCTCAGACAGGGTCTCTCTGCTGTGCAATAATTTAAACATCCCCACTGTGTCATCCAGGTTTATTTCTATAATGTGTTTACATTTTCTGGTGCCTAGTACAGAGACAAAATATTGTTATTTCCGTGCATTAAACAGTGAATAGCCATGAACTATTGTGTGATCATTTTGTCTAAAGACGCATTTATTGTAAAGTTTTCTTTCTTTTTTTTTTGCTTTTAAAGAAGGTCGTTTGGAATAAAGACAGTTGTAATCCAAAAGTTCTGTCCCTGGTGTCTCACGCTTTAGACTGTATTTGCAGGATGTTTTTTTATTGACTATTCCTTTTATTTTCATGGACAGTTTATTTTCAGCACCACCCAACCTCTCTGTACATTATTCAAGCAGACGGTCCTTGTCCTCCGCATTCACAGACGTTGATCTGATTCTCCGAGCGTTCAGAGTCCGAGGAAAAGGGAAAGTGGTTTGTTGACTACCGCATTGGGAATAAGTTCAGGTTTTTGCCATTTGAAAACCCCTTATCCATGGTTTCCCCTCCACCACGTTACAGGTAATCCAGTGTGACGCCACAGTGAGAAGCTCCAGCAGATAGATACAGTGTGTCAGTAGAGAATCCAGAAACCCGAGAGAGCTTGGCTTGTCTTTTCCGCCAGAGCAGGTATCCTTAAGTTCAAAGGCGGCAAAGTGCCAGCGATGGCGAGCCTCCATCCAGTGTCATGACAGTCCTAGTGCAGTGTCACTAGACCTCTATAAAAACCGAATCCTGCTGCCGCTTTGTTTCATTTCCCAGGTGGGCCTTCTCTGTCCGGGTATGCCAGACCAGGACCTGAAAGAAACCATTTGGAATCAGTTATTTCAGAATTTGCGAAACAAAGATTGTATATATATTAAGACGGTTTACTCATATTTCTAGGAACGGGAGAAAGTGCAATTCGCAATATGGTGGGCCTAAGAAACAACATTAATGTGAGTTCATGTCAGATTTCATTGCTGATTTGAAACATGTCATTTAAATGTGAGTGACAAGCATATTTCCCCATTCCCCACACAGTGTATGTGATCTCTCAGCAGAGATGTTTAAACTGTTGGTGCCTGAAGGGTGCTGGAACAGGATCTCTCGGATTGGTGACATGTCTTGATTTTATCAGTTTGATGCGGTGCAGGGAATGAGTGTTGTTAAATGGCCGCACCCAGGTGTGACGCGTCAGTTCCAGAACACATGGTACTGCAAATTGGCTTGTTTTCCATAAGGCTAATTTAGCAAAACCACAAGAGATTAATATTGTGTGCACCTTGGAGCAGCAACCCATAAGTAACCCAAAGCATGCTGTAGTAGTTGGCCTGATAACAAGTTGCATCCCTCTGGTAGATTCTGTAAAGTGCTCCTTATGTAGGTGTCTGACGCTCTACTTTGCCATCTACTAATCCCGATGCTGCCTTAATAAATATTATCAGGGCAAAGCAAGTTGTAGGACTGAGCTTTATATATATAGATACGTTTTTAGTTTAAATTTGGAACTTTCTGGAGTGGATCATAATTGGTTTTGTGGGTGGTTAAACTTCATTAGTTATGTTTGTGTGCAGCTGTCGAAGACATTTGCAGCCCACAGAGAAGTCTAATTTTTATAAGAGGAATGTAATAATACATGAAGAATTAAACTTGTGCGCTTCCGCTTTCATATGTAATAAATCCTTAAATTTTTTATGTTGATAATGTAATAGCTACAACTCGGTGCGCAAAGGTTGAAAGCAGTGATATAACAGCAGTGCAGAGGTGTGAAGCCAGCAGTCATGGGCTCTAGTAAATCTAAATGGGTTTCAAGAAAGGGTTATTGAAATTTAAATACATTTAAAAAAAAATTAATAATACGGGTAGGTTAGCAGTGTTTAGTTCCAACACTGCTTCAACACACACCTGCAGTTTTAAAATAAGCCTAAAGGACTTGATTAGCTGGATCAGGAGTGTTTGGGCTGAAGCCCTCCAGGAACTGAGTTTGACACCCCTGCTTTAGTGGCTCTGTGCACTCTTGTTCCAAAGTTATTTAGTTCAGATTTTTTTATTTGAAAAAAATAAATAAAAAGCATTTTATTCAGCAAGGACACATTTAACTGATCAAAAGTGATCAAAAGACATTTACATCGTTACAAAAGATTTCTATATCGATGATATTCCTTTGAACTTAGTTCATCAAAGAATCCTGGAAAAAAATTTTTTATCAAGGTTTCCACTAAAATATTAAGCAGTTTTCAACACTGATAATAATAAATGTTTCTTGAGCACCAAATCAGCATTTTTGAAGCATCATGTGGCACTGAAGACTGGAGAAACGACAGCTGAAAATTCATCTTTGCCATCACAGGAATAAATAACATTTTAAATTATAAAATATTTTATACATTATAAATAAAATAAAACCATTTTAATTTGTAATAATTTTACACAATATTGCTGTTTTACTGTAATTTTGATCAAATGAATGCAGCCTTCGTAAGCATAAGAGGCTTCATTCAAAAAATCCTACTGACCCCAAACTTTAGAACAGATTTGCATGAACTAACAATAAAAAAAGTACATTTTATACTATTCTATAAAATTACAATTTGCAATGATAAAAATGTGTTTGTATATGGAAAACATTAACAAAGGCTCTGAATGCATCATTCATTCTTAGTTCTGTTAGCATGCCATTAGCAATGTATAGAACCTTAGTCTGTACTAATAACTACTATACACCATAAAGTCATTTGCCATAATTGTACAAAAGGGATAGAATCTTGCACAACATCGGAACTAACTGTTACACAATGAAAGCATTCTAGCTCATTTGTTCAGCTGATAAAGGTGTATTACTCTAAAGTCCGTGGCATTTTGGGAAAAATGTCTGTGGTTTCTATTTGGGTGGTCTTGTATAAAACCATTTTCTCAAACAATGCTTTTGTTGAAGATGTTGAAGAAGTATTTCTTTTGAATCTGCCCACAACAACTCAAATGATTATTCTCTCTCAAGGCTTCAGATACTCATCCTGTTCAGAGTGAAGCAAGCTGGCACGCTGACAGCAGTCTGGCAGGAGCACGATTGAGACTGACATTAATAAACAGGAGAGTCTATGCACTGACTTCTGTAAATAAGCCTGTGAATGTCTCTCACACCCTCTTTACCCCTCTATCTATAAAGCATGAGTGCCGTCTCTCTTAAACAGTTTCCCTTTTCCCTCTTCTTATTCCTCTGTCCCTTTCCTCCTTGTCACATCAGTTCAGTCCGATTACTCACATAAGATGACCCCCCCCCTCAATCCTACCCAGCCTCCCTGCCTTTAATTTTGAAGTGCATGCTGGGAGTTAGCCGTATTGCCCTGCCCGCAGGCTTAGTCACAGTCATCCGTTGGGGACCCACAAGAACACTTCTACAAATGTGACCTTTCCAAAAGACATCGCTGGCAGTGCTCCACTTGGACAGACGCCCGCTCACGCCCATCACGAGGACCCATAACTGCTGGCACACGCACTTTCGTTTGTTTACTTCCATAATGCCATTCTCATATAATTGGAATACAGCCACAAATTTAAGTATATTAAACTCCTACTTTGTCCAAGTAGCACCTCGCACTTCTTTGTAACTGTCAGTGGCCTTTCCGTCCCGTTTACGGGCGCGATATCTACACGCTCGCACCCGCCACGGCATTGTACCACAAGAATAAACCTGCGCTCTCCGCAGTGTTTACAATGCAGACGTTATGCTGCGTCTGGAAAAATTACGCATAACTGATTGGCTGATGTTGGAAATGTGTCCTGGTCTTGCTGGTGTTGGTGATTAGTGGAATTGTCAGCCCTGCTAATAGTCACTATTAATAACCCAGGCCGGCTACCATTAGGGTAATTGGGTGATAATGATGATGGCAGTAGCAGTGACGCGCGGTACAGGGAGGAAGAGAGCATTTTGACATGTAAGGTGAGTCGACTGAAGAGGTTTGAGCTTGAGATTTCAGCTCCTGAGATAATGGGCCACGAATGAATGAAGGAGCTTTTAGAATCAGACTAAAAGTCTGAGTCAAATATATAGGAATGGTTTTTTTGTGTGTTTTTTTTTTCAAGCGCTACTTGACATAGCTATTCACTATCGTCACTGGTTGAAGAATAGACCGGCGTACAAAGTTATGTTTTCAAAGTAATACAAAAAAGGTAGGGGTGAGTCATATTACCCAAAATAATGAGTCTCAGATTTAAGAGATACCTGGAGCTAATAAAGGAAAGGAACATCAAAAACCGTAACTTTTTTAGTATGCATGATAATCAAAGGTGAAGGATGCAAATGCGAGCTGTTCTACTCACTTGGGTACAGTTCTGGGCCTTTGGCTCCAAGTCCTCCACCTTGGTGATCTGTTTGAGGAAATCTGATTCTTGCATCCCTGGTTTGGCTCCTCTCCTCTTGAACAGGGCACGTGGGTTTGACAGGATCACCTGCAGGTTCACTGCAAAGCCTGCCGTTAACAAAGTAAAAATTGCAAGCAAATTATAAATCAAACATTTCAATTAAAATGTTTTTTATTTTATGTCTCCTCTCTGCTGCTTTTGACATAACAGCTCGTGATAGTCATTACTGAGAAGGGTGTGGAAAATCCTGTGTCGTCTTGTGGTGTGACCAGTCAGTCAGCATTGTCATGATGTCGCTTCCTTGTGCCTTCAGAGTGATTAGTCGCGTACGGCTCGGGTGATTGGCTTAAACCTGGCTGTACAATTAAGTGCCCTTAAGCAGTGTTGGCAAATTGCATAAAATTGAGCAACTGCCATTGAGATGAGATGAATGGGAATACTATCGGATAACTTTCTCCAGGTATTATATACATCGTTTGCAAGTGAGAAAGTCTGGGTTTGATGCTCATTGAAGCTCATCAAAAAGCTTAGTATAAAAGGCCTGAAATTGTTAATTGCAAATTTATGTCAAATAAATTGTCCAAATAATCTCACTATACACTCACCGGCCACTTTATTAGGTACCCCATGCTAGTAACGGGTTGGACCCCCTTTTGCCTTCAGAACTGCCTCAATTCTTCGTGGCATAGATTCAACAAGGTGCTGGAAGCATTCCTCAGGGAGTTTGGTCCATATTGACATGATGGCATCACACAGTTGCCGCAGATTTGTCGGCTGCACATCCATGATGCGAATCTCCCGTTCCACCACATCCCAAAGATGCTCTATTGGGTTGAGATCTGGTGACTGTGGAGGCCATTTTAGTACAGTGAACTCATTGTCATGTTCAAGAAACCAATTTGAAATGATTAGAGCTTTGTGACATGGTGGAAGTAGCCATCAGAGGATGGGTACATGGTGGCCATAAAGGGATGGACATGGTCAGAAACAATGCTCAGGTAGGCCGTGGCATTTAAACGATGCCCAATTGGCACTAAGGGGCCTAAAGTGTGCCAGGAAAACATCCCCCACACCATTACACCACCACCACCAGCCTGCACAGTGGTAACAAGGCATGATGGTTCCATGTTCTCATTCTGTTTACGCCAAATTCTGACTCTAACATCTGAATGTCTCAACAGAAATCGAGACTCATCAGACCAGGCAACATTTTTCCAGTCTTCAACTGTTCAATTTTGGTGAGCTCTTGCAAATTGTAGCCTCTTTTTCCTATTTGTAGTGGAGATGAGTGGTACCCGGTGCAGTCTTCTGCTGTTGTAGCCCATCCGCCTCAAGGTTGTGCGTGTTGTGGCTTCACAAATGCTTTGCTGCATCCCTCGGTTGTAACGAGTGGTTATTTCAGTCACTGTTGCCCTTCTATCAGCTCGAACCAGTCTGGCCATTCTCCTCTGACCTCTGGCATCAACAAGGCATTTCCGCCCACAGAACTGCCGCTCACTGGATGTTTTTTCTTTTTCGGACCATTCTCTGTAAACCCTAGAGATGGTTGTGCGTGAAAATCCCAGTAGATTAGCAGTTTCTGAAATACTCAGACCAGCCCTTCTGGCACCAACAATCATGCCACGTTCAAAGTCACTCAAATCACCTTTCTTCCCCATACTGATGCTCGGTTTGAACTGCAGGAGATTGTCTTGACCATGTCTACATGCCTAAATGCACTGAGTTGCCGCCATGTGATTGGCTGCTTAGAAATTAAGTGTTAGCGAGCAGTTGGACAGGTGTACCTAATAAAGTGGCCGGTGAGTGTATATTCAAACACACTCTCTCATTCACTGTGTATTAACTATATACACAAATGCACAGCTCTTCAGCTCTTTCTTGACCTTATGCATTTCTCATGGGAGCAGGTTGAACCGTCCCCACTGTCGCATTTGGGTCAGGATAAGTTTTTCACCCGCTTGTTTCCATTTCTCTCTATGACACTGTCTCAGCCCCAAAACAGGAGAAGGACTTTTCAAATTTTACTATAGGGAATATCACCCTCTGTTGTGGGCTTTTTATCCTGCATGGACACAGGCTGTTTTCTAGGACGCCTGCATTCCAGCTAAAACCACCTGGGTTTCCCTCAAATCCGCAGAGGCGAGCTCAAGACAGCATTGCAATGCTCATCTAAGCCTTGGCTAACTGTGTCCTTGTGTAGTCACAAGGTTTCTCTCCCTCAGAACGACATGCATATGTCAAGGTTTATTAATAGTTGAAGGCCAGCCAACTCCTTTCTTTTGATCTTTTTTTTATTTTCTTAATGACTATATTGCCTTTTGATGTCCCTATACAAGTATTGGGGGAATGACGTAAGAACCTACGCTCAGAGATCTAGGGACGCGGCTTTGATAGAGCTGAAGAGCCGGACACGTTTCTGCTGGGTCCATCCAGATGTGATGCATAAACCGTAAGCCCATCTTAAACATTCACATCCTGAACTCCAAGACTTCATGACCAGCCGTTTATAAGGTCTTTAATTAGGGTGGCCTTCAAATTTGTAGTGTTGAAAAGCTGAAAAGGGATTGATGTTTAAAACTTATTTTGCCTTACAGAACTGTCAAGTAATTTAATTTCCAGGGAAATGTGATGCATAAATCATGAAATCATTAGTACTTAAATATGTAAATGGTATTCAGAAACGGTCTAAAATTAATAAGGGACAATAAGTAAATACTAATAGAGCAATCTGTAAAATGCACATTGGAAAGAGCACCTTTTAGATTAGTTTTATGTTGTCACTAACAACTCTGTTATTTACATAACATTATCATATTTTTCAAAAGGATTCAATTCTGTAAAGGTACAACATGAACCAATTAAATCAGTCTGCTGTTTTATTACAACCATTATTCCTTGTTTATACATACACACTAATGCTCAAATGTTTAGGGTCTGTGAGATTTTGTTATGTTTTGGAAAGAAAAAATTAAATTGATCAAAAGTGATAAAAGAATGTAAAATGTTACAAAAGAGTTGTATTTCAAATCAATTATATTCTTTTGAACTTTCCATTAATAAAATAATCCTGAAAAGTCATGGTTTCCACAAAAATATTAAGCATTAATGATAATAATAATAATAATAATAAATGTTTCTTGAGTACAAAATCAGATTAGAATGATTTCTTAAAGATCATGTGACACTAAAGTCCGGAGTAATGATGCTGAAAATTCAGCTTTGCCATCACAAAAATAAATTACATGTTAACATATAATCAAATATAAAACGGTTATTTTAAATTGTGGTAATATCACATTTTTGATCAAATAAATGCAGCATTGGTGAGTATAAGAGACTTCTTTCTAAAACATTTTTTAAAAATCTTACTGACGCCAAACTTATGAATGGTTGTGTATTGTAGATGCTTCAACTAAAGTTAATGGTGTAATTCTTAAATATTTAGTAGTGTGTCCATTGTATTGTGTCCACCACAATTAAGCTGTCTTAATCAGTTTATGATATTTATTTATTATAATTATTATAAAAGATTTGTAAAATAAAATTCTGCAATGTATACTCGTGACACAGATTGTGTAAAGGCTAGTGTGACTCATGGTTTAATCTCTGTGTACACTAGATGCAGCTTTTTGTCATGCATAATCATTTCAGCCCTTCTCCGCCTAATGTGCAAAACGTTGCTATTGTGTGTTAAAAAGGTTTCCATGTTAAGACAAGCACTTGAGTTCCTCTTTAGGTGAGAGCAGTGCTTGAAAGCAATGAGAGAGGTGGTTCAGGACCTTTTCTCTGCTATTGTGTTTGCTCTCAGAAGAAGCCGTACAGCAGGAATACTAAATAACCTTATTGTTCTCAGCTTTTGTTCAGGGAGGAGTGTAGTGGAGCTGGCAGATTTATGAACCTTAAACAGCTCATTTTCAACATGCGATTAGTCTATGTCAGCGACGTGAGGAAGCGTATGCATTGTGTGAAGTGTTTGTTAAGGGAGATGTGCTCACTGTCAGGTAGGGCCTGACAATGAATACATTACCTCTGATGACAACGATGATGATATTATGTGTGAGTGAACACATGAGAAAAATATGAGCTTTGGAAGGAGAGCAATAGTGGTAGTAACAGAGATCACATGAGAAAGAGATGATACCATCTCTTGTTATTAGAGTTTCATGAACAGCATAATATCCAGAGGCAGCGCTGGAGTCTGGGGAATTAGGGATTGCTTCAACTATACCCACTGCTATCTCTGACGTTGTATTCATTCCTTCGAGCGCCATATGAGCCCTGCCTCTCTCCATTAGGATGTTTCCAACCTGTCAGCATCTTCTCACCCCACCCTCTTTAATGCACTGCCTAAGAGCTCACGTTTGCTAAAAATGCAGAGAAATTGCTGAATTTAGCCTCAGTAAAGGGGCTTTTTGCCAATTATAGGGAGCTTTGTCTGCCTAAAAATATAGGGTATCTGTTATATTTGCCTGTCAGTAATGCTTTGTAATAGTGTGTAATAGTAAGTTTTTTTTTACTGTTGCAATACGTTCTTTATCATAGTAAACTATTAGCATACCATTTGAAAGCTGATTTTCCCAGAAAGTGTAAACACTGATGCTTTTAACATGTTCTGTTTGCGTATCCTGACCAGCTTGACATGTCAAATTCCAATTTACATGTTGTCACTTAGCAGACGCTTTTATCCAAAGCTTCTTACAAATGAGGAATATCACGAGCAGTTTATCAGAAGAGCCAACAATATTTGCAGTACACTGTGCCAAGTGCCTTTGTTTATGGTTGTGTTTTAGTTAAGTGCTTGTGGAAAAAGTGTGTCTTCAGCTCTTTCTTGAAGGTTCTGATGGTCTCAGCAGACGGGGCGGAGGTTGGCGTTCATAAGCCTGTTTATTTATAATTATTACTATTCCATTTGGAGACACTAGTGCTGTAAACATTTTCTGTTAATTAAATTTTTGTTTGTTTTTTTGTTTTGACAACCCCCTTAATCTATTAGTATGAACTTTGAGCCTCTGTTCTCTGTAAGTACAGGTCAGTATTTTTTTTGTATTATCTATATATTATATTATTTGAAATGTGAATGTATACATACTTTATCTTACTAATTTTATCTCTGTCAGTTGCCAAGACAACATTTCTAATTTTCATGTATTATTTTTTTCATGAAAATATTTTTTTAGGGCTGTGCAATAATTAATCGCATCCAAAATAAAAGTTTGTGTTTACATAATATATGTGTGTACTGCGTATAATTATTTTGTATATATAAATACACACACATGCATGTATATATTTATATTTAAGAAATATTTGCATGTGTATACTATATATATATATAAATATTTAAATAACACATTTTTCTTAAATATATACATGCATGTGTGTGTGTGTCTGTGTGTATTTATATATATATATACAAAATAATTATACTCAGTAAACACATACATTATGTAAACCCAAACTTTTATTTTGGATGCGATTAATCATTGCACAGCTCTAATTTTTTTTATAATTTTGCTTTTCGTTAACAATAACCCTGATACAGTTCACTAACTTAGTGCCTTTCCTATTGACAAAGATGAACTATAGCTAATTTCACTAGTGTAAGCCCATCTAAATCGGTCCAATAGCAGCATCCGATAGAACGGGTGAAGGTCTCTGCGCATTACTGTCTTTCCGCGTGGCAAAGTAATTTAATTCCATTTAAGCTTTTATCTGACTCCATTTTATAAAGACCTCGAATATAGGTCATATTGCCAATTGGTTATTGGTCAATTATATAATAGTTTAGCAATACATTTGACTGTTCTATTTAACTATTTACTTACATTTTACCCGTTAATATTAGGAAGCTATGTCGTTGAGGTCCTCACGCCTTCTGTTTAACGCGGGTCTCACGATCACAAACTCGCCAGCTTCGGTCACTAAACAGAGGTAATTGCTATATACCTGAGATGGTCGCATTCACACTTACACAAAGATACTTTGGTATACCCATGGTTTTGCATACACTTGAATTTAAAATAACGTTCACTTCAGGCAGAGGTATGGCCACTTCTACAGATATAAGTCGACCAATATTACTTCTCTTATAATAGCTTTGGATTGGCCATGCCGTGGTTTCCCACGTACACTTATCTAAAGTAACATTAAATTTAAACAGAGGTAAGACACACCCAAATTTAGTTTGATCGAGCAGCATTTTTGCTGTCCTAAACGGAAATTAATTTCTTGTCTTTGCGAACCAAGTACACTTGAATTAGTGCCAAATATTAGTCGTCACTAATCTGATGCAGACTTGCGGTAATATACGAATCCGTTTAATCGGCTTGGGAGAAAAATATCAGAGTCAGTCAGAATAAAATCAAATGTAACAATTTATTATGTCAGGCAAATGTATTATGCCAATTTCATAATCAGTTCAAAGATAATAAATACAAAATATCAAATGCTCTTGAATAAAGAGAAAAGATGCGAACCTGACATTAGAAAATACATGATGCTGAGTGTCTTGCATCATGGGCTAATTTGAGCTACAAATCGCCCTGAGCCTCTGTGTCACAGTTACCAGCTGGTGTGCCCAGGTTGACCACCAGAGGGCACTCTTTCTCTGATCTTTGCCACTCAGCCATTAACTTCAGTTCCCATAATCCTTTGCCTGGACTCATCACTAATTATTGCATTCACCTGTGTCTTCGGACAAGACGACAACCTCTACGCCTGTGTCTTCGGACAAGATGGCCGTGTCTGCCCCTGAAGTTTCGGATCCGCCCTGGTCCCCTGAAGCGTCGGATCCACCCTGGCCCCCTGAAGCGTCGGATCCGCCCTGGCCCCCTGAAGCGTCGGATCCACCCTGGCCCCCTGAAGCGTCAGCTTCCGCCCTGGACGCCTGGTCAGCCAGCTACGCCCTGATCAGCCTGCTCCGCCCTGGACTCATGCTCCGCCCTGGACGCCTGCCAAGCCTGCTCCGCCCTGGCCGACTGTTCAGCCTGCACCACCCTGGCCCTCAGCCAAACTCCAGACCCGCCAGAGTCTCCCTGGTCTTTCCCTCCGGCACCGCCATGGTCCTCTGCTGGGACTACAGTTGCGACAGAGCCTGTCTGGTCCATTCCTCCGGCACCTCTATGGTCCTCTTCAGGGACCCCAGATGCGACGGAGCCCACCTGGTCCGTCCCTCTGGCACCGCCATGGCTCTCTGCCGGGACTCCAGATGTGACGGAGCCCGCCTGGTCTGTTCCCCCAGCCCCCGCCCTGGCTGCCTGCTCTGCCTTCGTCTCCAGTTCCCCTTCACCTTCATGGACCTGGCCCCCCAACCCTCCCCCCGATCATCCTCCATTCTGCCTCCCTCCTAGACTGTTTTTTTAGACTTTTGGAGCGTCTGGAATCCGCTCCTTATGTGCCCAGGTTGACCACCAGAGGGCACTCTTTCTCTGACCTTTGCCACTCTGCCATGAACTTCAGTTCCCATAATCCTTTGTCTGGACTCATCACTAATTATTGCATTCACCTGTGTGTCGTTACATTGTTTGTCTCACCCTATTTATACCATGTTCTCTCTGCCATTTCTCATCAAGGTTTTGTAATTGTCACACGGCATTCCTGAGCACTCTCCCTTGTCTTTTTGTTCTTCTGTGGATTGTTTGCAAGTGTTTTTGACCCTTTGCCTGGGATGACTATGAATCTGGATTTTCCAATAAAGCTGCGCTTGGATCTCACCGAGTCTCAGAGATATCCGTGACACTCTCGTTGCATTTCTTTATATAGACAGAAACGTCTTTCACGTGGAAGCATTTGCTAACAATGGGAATTTGCATTCAGAGTTTACACCTTTTGGGCAGGATGCCAAAAGACATCCTTTGCCTGGAAGACACACCCTCCTCTGTGTGCAAGTTATCTCTAAACTCTTAAAAACTTTTTTACCTTTTGGTTTACTTCTTTGGGAATGAGACATGTTTACCAGTCGCACTGAGACATTTCAAATAATACCAAACATGTATAATACTGTATGATAATTATTCACATGAAACCATATAGATTTTTGGGTGAATTTTGGTGATCTCAACATGAGAGAGAGAAGGAATGGGGGAAGAGGGAAAGAGATGTAAATTTGGACGATTCTGAGGTGAGACTTGCGTCTCAAATGGTGATGCTAACTTCACAAGAGAGATTAAATGTTAATTTCCTTTGTTTTCTCAAAGAGTTGCCCTCTCTTCCAGTTGTTCCAGTTTTTACAGTCTTATAGTATAATATAGGAGAAAAGCCTCTTCAGAAAACTCTCTGGTGTTTCACAGCTTTTTTCCTCAGCTTAGAGCATTCTTCTTGCATGGTCTCTCTATATAGAAGTCATTTTGCTGCCTGCTTTGGGCCAATTTTATATGCCTGTTTGAAACGACTTCAGTGAGGGGCAGTCTGGAAAGTATCAACACGACCAAACTGCAAAGAAGTCCCATCTGTTTATCTGAGCAGGCAAGCTGCTCCTCATACAGCTGATGTTATGATCAGCAGCAGCACATGGTATTACGTGGGCAGAATATCCTTTAGAACTCAGAGAAGATAGACAGAGATATGGAAGTTCAATATCTTAATAACATTAAATAAAATTGAGAGACCTTGTGGTGAAACTTGAACACATAATGCTCCAGGTAATGTGGTTCTGCTTCTCCAATACTTTTAAGACACTTACAGTAATGGTTCTGAACTTTAAAAATGACTTTTATCAAGTCAGTTGATGGATGTTTAATTGGTCACAGTAGCTCTCCTGCAATGCCACGAGTCATGGGTTTGATAACCGACATACTGATAAAAATGTATACTCTGAATGCTCTGTAAATCACTTTGGATAAAAGCATATGTCTAATGAATAAATGTAACTTAAATGGAAGCTTTCAGATGTGCAGGATGGAAAAACGAAATCTGGTAATTGTGTTTAGCTTGAAGTTTACGTGATTTGCACAAATTAGTTCTGAAATTCAAAACCAGCTGGATGACAGAATGTGCCAGTCACCAGAAACCTGTTAATTAACCAGAGGAATCTATTGTCAAAAATCTTTCTCTGTCACACGAGCCAGATAATGTTAAGGGCCAATAAATATTTGAAATCCAGAAATAGATGCAATAGAGGAATTTCTGAGAACTGGTCAAAAGGTTTTTTTTTTTTTAAATGGCTGCTTATTCTATAGTTCTGAACCATCTATAAAAGTGAGAGGAGAATATGGCACTCCACTGATGGATTTTTCAGGTCTATGGCATAGCTTGTTGTTGTTTTTTTCAGGATGCCCATATTAACGTCAGACCATTAATACTGCATGCCTCAGTGAGGTTTCAGCATTGAAGATATTTAAGCCCCATGTGCGGAAAATATGGAGAAAATGCATTATCAAGTGATTTATCAACACGATCAATCTAGATTTTTGAATATAAAATAATGAATTGAAGGTTTAGATTGTTCCATGTGAATTAATTAGCATTTGGATTTCCTTACGTAAAATAAATTTTGTGATAATCAATTTTTAATCGTTTTCAGTTGCACACTCCAATAACCATACTAGAATGTTCTGCCATTATTAAAGGGAAATACAAAATGCAGTAACACAGAAATCAATTTTCTGTTATTTTGTTCTGTTACACAGCAGAAACAGTGTCATCTTGAATGCTTACTCTTGCATTTATGATTCAGCCTTGTGAATATGTTGCTTCTGCACGTGGTGTAAAACAGGCATAATGGTCATTTCAAATATATGTGACATTTTTTTCCTGGTTTGATAACACTGTTGCAGTTATCATTCAGTTTTGTCGTAATAATAATCAGTAAAAATCGCTAGCGGCGTTTTGATAACTTACTATGGGGGGAAAATTACTCCTGTGTAGGTCGATCTTAGTGACGTCTTACCAGCCATGTCAATTGCAAACGGCCTGTCAGCCCTCCAGCCTGTGTACCAGCCGACCACTTTCCCCTTTTCCACCAGGGGACGCTCGTACCTCCGGCCTCCAACGAGTCCCACTGGCCACACTGACACTCTCCGGGTTGACCGCATCTGTAGAAGAAGGGAAACATGATAACGTTAATATTGCAAACACAATGCACTAAATTTTTTAATTAAAAGCTTTTTAATTAAAAGGAAATAAATGATTCAATGATTTGAAGGGGTCCTATTATGCTTTTCACTTTTTCAACTTTAGTTAGTGTGTAATGTTACGGTTAGAGCATAAAAAAGCTCAAAGTCAACTCCAAAGGGAGATATTTTATTTAACAGAATCCACTTTTCAAGAACTACAACAAACAACTCGTTTGTACTACAACGCGATTTTTCCGGATCTTGTGAAGTCATAATGTTACTCATTTAAATAATCCCTGCCCACAGAATACGAGAAAAAGGGGTCGAGGCCTGGTTGAGCTGCATTAGAGAAGACAGTGTTGTCTTGACAGTGTTGCTTGAATTGGTTTGAAATTGACACCATCAAGTAGAGCTTGCGGTTATGGTAATGAGAGTGACATTTCCTGAACTTGCGCTAGGCAGTGCCAATCACAACACACTGGGCCAGCTAACCAATCACAGCACATTTCGCATTTCGGGAGGAGGGGCTTCATCGAAACAGGAAATAAATGGCACGTTCGGGTCAGACTAGGGAGTTGCTGTAATAATGAAAAATATGTGAAAATTAATGTGTTTTTTGGAACAATCAAGCATAAAAGCATATTCTAGTACACCCCAAAAACAAAATCAAGACTTCGTAAAAGAGCATAGCCCTTTAAGAAAAAAAAAGAAGAAGAAGTTCTAGGTCTAATTGTAGTTGTGAAGTAATCAATTTAAACTTTGCAAATAATATTTTATTTTTTAAAAATGCACGCATTAACTATTCGTATGTCTAATATGTGGAAAACGCAAGACATTTCTTGTCTTGTCGCTTTCAGTTATGAATGATAGCATATTTTCAGTTCAAAATGGCAAAAATAGTTTACATCACTGCATATTACTGCCAGTTGTTAAACATTTCTATCAAAAAAATTCTTGTCAAATAATAAATGTTTAGCTACTTACATCCTACAAGGCACTCTTCCAAAAGCGTTGCAGTGGAATTCGCACTCATCTTTGGTGAATAGTAAAAGCCCGCCTTCAGGCTCAATGTCTATGGTGGTTACAGCCCTGCTTTATAACCATACGAGTACTTTTAATTAATTATTATTATTTTTAAAGGACCAAGTAAAGTACTGCCACGAACAGCATGGCTTATTATAAAATGGCTCATTTTCAGCATAAATAAGTCCGTCCACCTGCAGTTTGCTGGAGACAGCACACACTGCTCTTCAGTTTCATAAACACGATCACATCTGATTGAACCACCCGGCAACACTAAAACTGTCATTTCCAACAAGATACTATCTTCCTTGTGAAATTTTAAACATCCTACAGCTGAAAGAAGCTTCTTTTTTATTCATTCCTTCATATATAATAATAAAAAAAAAGACTATTTGCCACTGGGGGAATGAGCGTTGCTGCAATTTCTCAAACAAATGGTCAGAGTAGTCTGAATATTTAATGGTTGTGCTATTTATGTGAGTGCTGTACGCAGTCGGGTGACGTGTCTGTGGCTGGCGGCCCTAAGCAATGGACAAGCTTTGAAGCCCAAACTGCTGCCCTTTTAGCTGTGTTTCTAATGCCTGTCTTCTTCCCTCTCTTCAAAGGCTTCGTCTCCATAATGGTTGCTCTTAAAGTGTAACACAATTCAAAGGCAAAATCAAAGAATTCTCTATAGCAAAGAGGATGTCATCTGCAGGTGCCAAGCATCCTTTCGCGGTGAGGATGACAACAAGGGCAACAGGCACAGCCATCAAATGCAATGTCACATACACTGTTCTTTGAGTTGAGCTCTCAAGCTACCGGCGGCTATATGGAAAGACATCTGTATTTGGCAGTTTTTGTGACCCATGTGTTTTCCTGCAGGGACAGGGAATAAGAAATTCTGGCCCCATTTTGACAACACAGTGCAGAGAAATAAATTTGTAGTAGAAGAGTGTGTTCAATATCTTTAGGGAGGCAAAATCACCTTCGATAACAAAACTCTACATGCTGCCTGACAGTTCTAGAGAGGATTCCAACAATGCAAAAAAAAACAATACAAAATCGGATCTAATAAGGAACTGTATTTCTAGGGAAAGACAGGTTACAACTGAGAACAATAAATCTAATGCAGAATTTGTCGTGGCACTGAAGCCACAAGGCAGAGTAGCAGCATATACAGCATACTGAGACTTCGTGGACATGCTTTCCAGTAACAATGTCTGAAAATCCTTGAAACAAGACAAGCAGCTCTGCATAAGTTGATATGATTCATTTTCATACATTTTATGTAAAAGTGCATTTTGTATTCATTTTTGTTTTACTGCACTGACTTTAAACTCCAAACAAGTGAAAAACTGCCAGTGCAGTAAACAGAAGTGTGGCTTTTCGGGTAAATGCATCTTGTTTTTACATATTTAATTTGTAAACTTAGAGATTTTTTTTTTTTTATGAAAATGAGAGTATTAAAGGGATAGTTCACTTTGAAATTAATGTTTGATATGTTTTAGCTTACCTCAAGCGCATCCAAGATGTAGGTGTCTTTGTGTCCACAGTATTTTCAATTTTGATATTTTTAGGTCAAACCGTTCTTGTCAGTCATATAATGCAGTCCTATGGGGTCCACCTCAAAGAGCATACACAGAGAAGTCCAAATTAAACATGATTTAATGACTCGTAAATGTAAGTACACATTGATGGCCTAAGACACGAAACGAGCGGTTTGTGTGAGAAAACGAACAGTATTTATATCGTATTTACCTCTTGTAAACACAGCCAGCCAGGTCCAAGTGATCTGACGGCGCCGGCGGTTCGGTCTTTCCGGAAAGCACTGGAAGTGATCTCTCGCGCGTGTAACGTTACGTCACCATAGTACGTCACTCATACAATTGTTTTATTTTTTTGGAATTGTTTTATTTTACGACGGTTTAAACATCCCGAATAAGCGCGAATTAGTACCCTTTTAATTAGCCGTCTTACCTACAATCTCTGTTCTGTGTAAACAATGAGTGACGCACACGCGCGAGGTTTCACTTCCGGCGCTTTCCGGAAAAGACCGAACCGCCGGCGCCGTCAGATCACTTGGACCTGGCTGTGTTTACAAGAGGTAAAAACGATATAAATACTGTTCGTTTTCTCACACAAACCGCTCGTTTCGTGTCTTAGGCCATCAATGAGTACTTACATTTACGAGTCATTAAATCATGTTTAATTTGGACTTCTCTGTGTATGCTCTTTGAGGTGGACCCCATAGGACTGCATTATATGACCGACAGACAAGAACGGTTTGACCTAAAAATATCAAAATTAATTTCAAAGTGAACTATCCCTTTAAGGTGATAAAGCATTTTTATCCTAACCGATCACAACGAGCAACGGTACATTTCGTTTCGTTTCGTTTGGTTGTAGTTTTTCAGAAGTGCTGCACACTGAAATCTCATTGGACTTAAAATGATAGTCCACGCAAAAATGAAAATTATATCATCATTTACGCACTCTAATGTTGTTCCAATCCTGTATGACTTTCTTTTTTCTGACTTTCCAGTCTTCATGTATATTAAACATGAATGAGGAGAGACTGGTTGTGGATATCATGACCCTCACATTTCAAAAGGAAAAGCATGCAGTCTGGTCTGGCTACATTACACATGAAAATGCAAGCTATTTGTTTTTATTTTTAGCGCTCTTCAGTTCCAGCACGTTGTGAGTGTGAGAGCCACACAAACAGAGAGAACTGTTCTGATTGGCTGGTTCGTGATCGATTAGCCTATATCACGCTCCATTTTTTGTTTTGGACAAATTGCTATTCATCTTATCGCATTATTATTCTAACCAAAAATAATAATAATGTAAAAATGACATTTAAAAAAAATAATAATAATAATTTACATGTTTGATGATAAAGCTATTTTAACACAAAATGATCTTCCACACTCCACTCAAGCAGCTGAACACATTTTTTTCCACAAGCACTTGATCAATGATCATTAGCACACTGTACTATTGTCCCTAGACTGAGACTCCCTACTAGGCTAAACCTTTATTTTAAAAAACTCAATTGTTTCACTGTGTCTCGGTCACATCTCTGTACTAGCTTGTACTTTTCTAGCCAATTTTGAGACTTTGCATTGCAGCTCTTTTATATTACTGTCGCCTTAGGATGAATCACTTGAACTGTAGCATTTCTCGTTGGGGGAAACAGTATGTGCTAAATGAATACATTTCCTTGGTGTCATTAAAATTTGTCATTATGAAGCACTGGCTGTTGAAAATGGCCAAATGACTCTCATTGTTGTGCTGTGTAATGTGTTTGTGTTGAGCAGAGCAGGGGTCATCAGCATACTGACACTGCGCTCTACCCCTCAGGGGTCGTTCCATGTGTTCATCCACATGTCCAGCTGTGTTCTGAAGAAATGGAGAGAGAGAGAGAAAGAGGCAGAGGGAGGGAGGGATGCACAAAGCAAGCATTGAAGAAATAAGGAGGGCAGCAAGGCCTGTGGCAAAGGAAAAGAGAACGGCTAAAAGAGGAGGAAAAAGCAGAGGTAAAAGACTGGTAGAATATTTGATGATAAATGAGACGATGAGCTATAAGTGCTGGGTTTGGACAATAGCCAAGAGAGAGAAGAATATTTTGTGCTACTGTAGATAGAACTGAGTGTAATGCAGTGGAGGAAACCGCTTCCCTCTTTATATATCCCAGACAAATAAATGAAATGGATAATCATCAGACATCGATTAAAGCAACACACTGACATGGTAATTTGTAACTATTTTAGGTTTTGGTGAATTGGTGGCTAAGTTGTTTGAATTTTCTTATTCGTACATTTTCATACACTCTTCTTATGGCCTATGAACTCACCTCGTAAAATATTTGTTTTCTCAAGAGATTGGTAAGATAAAATGGATGGTTCTGCCAAAAAAAATGTATTTGTCATTACTGTCATTATTTACTCACCTCATGTGGAGGCCATGTTGGTCAAACTCTAAAAAGACCACAAAAAAAAAAAAAAACTAAAAAAAACCCAGCATAAAATAACAATAACATTAATGTGATCTATATGACTTGTGCATGGTATTGCATAGTATTTTATTTATTTATTTCGATCTCCATTAGCTGCACACGAGCAGCTACTCTTCCTGGAGTCGATACAATCCAACAGTACACAATAAAGTAGGTCTGTTAGGTCTGTTCCTCATACATACGACTTTATAGTGTTCTTTTGTACTTTTTTGAGCCTTGACATCAATGTTACTTAATTGCAAAAGAGCTGTGTAAAGATTATTTAAAATTTCTCCTTTTTCCACTGAAAAATATGGGTTTGGAATGACAAGATAGTGAGTAAATAATGACAGAAAATTAATTTTTGAGAGAACTTCTTTAACCCTATACTGCTTATACTTCAATATTAATTGGCTGAAATTCCAAGGGTGTCTTTACACCCTGATATTAATTGCCTTTATTAAACTGACTTTATTTAAAACTTATCTGAAGAAATATGTGCGCATAAAAAAATAAAAAATAAAAAGATTGTGTGTGAGAGAAAAACTCAACCTTTGTAAGACAGAGCCTCAAATGAAGTGTATCTCTTCTCATCACTTCGCCATGTTATCTGTTTCGTCCATCGTCCACAGACAACCGGCTAAACAGACAAATCCTTATTTCCCAGCTGTCAGGACGCTTTGTCATTTCTCTGTGACTTCCACTCAAACTGGGTTAATTCACTGTGCTTGACTACACCATATACTGGGTCCCCTATTTATGTGAGTCAACCACTGCACATAAAGACTCATAAGAAATAGATAACAATGGCATGATAAAACACACCACATGAATCTCCATGGGGACAGATGTTACACCGAGATCCTCAGAGACATTATTTATAACGGCCAACTTTTTAAAAATAAGTATTTCTCTCTTAACTATGCATTTAAGTGTAATGCAACAACCTTGTGGAGTGCAAAAACATCTTGTTGTACAGTGACAAAGAGCTTAAATTGACTCGACCATGGCCCCGATTTGTTTTAACTGCAGCTTTAAGGTTAATTGCTGCTTTTACATTTTTAGGTTTAAACTTTATTTAATTTTTACAGTGCAAGTTCTCAAGGTAAATACTGTAGGACCTCTGAGTTTTGCATACAGTATACCTGTAGCATGTAATGCCGCTGGTTTTATAGATGCTATAGTTCTCATTTGATGGGAGAAATAAGATGGGTATATATGAATTTGCTTCTTCATGAAAAAAAAAAAAACCCTAACTCATCATGCACCATTTGAGTTATTGTACAGACAGACATGGATGAGAATCTTACTCAGGGAGGTAGCAACTGCCTTGCAAACATCTAGTTCCAGCCATATCTCGACACAGAATGGCATGTATTCATGACTTTGACCATTGTGGGCCAGCAGAGGTTTCTTTAGAGCCCCAGACATATATATGTATGATGTGCCACGGTTTGCAATTTAACATTTGTGATCGCTTATCTCATCAAATAGACTAGTTCTTATTTTCCAGATTTCATTTCAAGCCTTCTGCAGCTCTAAACTGGGCAGAAAGAAGTCGTATTTACCTCTTCAAATAACTCAAGGCTGTAAGTGTTATCATCATCCGCGAAGAAAACGACTCCTTTATCTTTGGACGCGCGATGTCCTCTGAGCCAGCCGAGCGCTAAGTTCCTTTGCTCGGTCGCTCGCGGCATCCCCGTCCGCTTGAACCTGCGCGGGGTGAACACGTTCAGGAGAGTGTATCGCAGCCCAGACCGGGCAAGAAACCGCGCAACCAGCTCCGTGTGGGAGTTCGAGTCCTCCACCACGACCCAGTGGAACTGCGGAACCTGGCGGAACGTATTTGCCAAGCGGGTGAGCTCTGCTTTCTGCACCGGTCGGCTGTAAGTGGGAGTGATGGCATAAATGACCGGGGGAGATGTGGTGTTACTCCCGCTGCTGCTGCTGCTGGTCCGAGTCGTCCTGACGACCTGCCGCTGCTGCACATTTCCCAGCCGAGACAAATAGAAGCTGGCCGTGTTCCTAACAGACAATCTCTTCGTATCGATGTCGATCACGATGATCACTATCAAGATCCACGGAAGAAGGATGAAAAAGCGAGAGTAGAAGATGGATTTCATTGTGCCCGAAGAACCAGCGCTGCTTAATGTAAAGAATTAACAGTCCGCCACAAACAGAGCAGTTCATTCAGAGGCGATTATTGTATAATTGCAGAATATTACTTTTAAAACTTCCATTAAAGCCTCTCCTCGCGTGTTTATTATTCGGTAGCCGCAGTCCACGAACGTTTAAACTTCCCATTTCCCTCAACTAAACGCGCCGTTGCGATGCCATCCCGTCCTGCGCTCCGCCAGTCAGTCCGTTCGTTCCCTGAGAAGATGCTCATGGGTCTTTAGTCGTTCAGCGCAGAGAACAGTGCCAAAAATAACAACAGGTCATTGTTTTGGTCACGTGCATAGCTTGGAGTGCAATAAAGCCATGCAGGTGGAACGATTTCTCAAAACTGCACCGAATGATGGGACACAGCTCTGATGGTCTGACAGACGCTGCTGCTGTATAGTCCGCTGAAATGATGAAGACTGAGACTTCAAACTGAGAATTCACCCTCCCCACCTGCGCACTAGAGAGAGCGAGAGAGGAATTACTTGTATTGTAGTCCCTTTTTTTTGCGCTGTACATTTGGGGTCTTCTAACAGCCTAGGCTAATAATCATAATTTGTCTGTTAGAGCGGGTCAGTTACAGTTTATTTCTAAACTAAATCCGTAGCCTTTAAAGCCTTTAAACGTATCCAAGGCTGTTGTTAAACGACCCCAAATAGCAATAGGCTATAGATAACGTTTTTCGCTCGAATGTATTGCATTCATTAGCCTAATTACTTTCTTCATCCTCATTTTATTTTAAGCATTTTAATAAAATAAAAAAATCTTAAACAAAACAATGTTTTGGTTTGGTTGACATTTGATTTAGCCAGGGGCGCAACCATCCAGTGAGTAGCCTACCCTAAAAAATAAATAAGTGTGCCATGTAATGAGTAGGAACGAGTGAGAGTTAACAGATGAAATAAGTAAAAATGTATTTAATACAATTGAACTATTCTCTACAGTGATGAATATGGAAGTAAATTAATGCCAAATGTTTTTGAAACAAAAAAGCCTGAATTGCACTACTTGAAAAAAAAATAGGCATTGCATTAACCATGCTTGCATTTTAATGCATTGTATTTTTAGGGCTTGCATTTTTATGGGCTGAAATTCAGCATGGTTGAATATTAAGCTGTGAATATTTCAATTCAAAACATTTCAAACACATTTTCATTATTCAAAATTCAATAATCCATATTCACCTTTCATATTTCACTTCCAAAATATTCAAACTGTTTAAAAATGCAACCTATAATATTCAACAGGCAATGTTCGGTCTATTTGATTTCACTTTGCAAATTCGCTTCCACAAATTCAGTGGTTCAAATTCGACAGTAAATTCAACATTGACATCCAGGAACTGCAGGAAAAGCAGTAGATTGCCGAGCATAATCTCCATCTGCTGTTAGTCTTCCTCACCAGCTGGGGGTGCAAGAACTATGAGATCTATGATCTAGAGATCTAAGACCATGATGGTCATCGAAGAAGTGAAGGAGCAGTACCCCCCAATTATGGTGGGGTAATTCGCACTCTGGGTGCAAGCGCATGTTGTTGAGAAGACCAGAGCAACAGTTAGAGCAAGCCATTCATTCATAAAAATTCGTTTCTTTTAAAAATTCATTTTTATGAATGAATTTGAACCACTGAATTTGTGGAAGCGAATTTTCAAAGTGAAATAAAATGGACCGAACATTGCCTGTTGAATATTATAGGTTGCATTTTTAAACAGTTTGAATATTTTGGAAGTGAAATATGAAAGGTGAATATGGATTATTTAATTTTTAATAATGAAAATGTGTTTGAAATGTTTTGAATTGAAATATTCACAGCTTAAATATTCAACCATGTTGAATTTCAGCCCATAAAAATGCAAGCCCTAAAAATAAAATGTTCAAAGCAAAGGGAGATATTTGCTTTTAAAGAAATCAATTTCTAAGGACTCCAGGGTTGCTGACATCACTAACCCCAATATTTACATAAACCCCTCCTCCGAGAATACTAAATAAGGGGGGTGAGGACATTTTATTTTGCTTTGGAGAAGAGTTGTTGTGGTATGGCTGGAGTGTTGTTGCCTCAATGCCGTCGAAACGCTGTTATTTTCATCCGGATTGCAGGTCCACTTTGTTCAGCCTTCCTAGGGACGGGGGAGTTAGGGATCAATGGTTAAAATTTATTTTTAACTCGGTCCCTCATATTACCCAAATCTCGCTCCGTCGCTCGTGCGCTCTGTGCTGCACATTTTACGGAGGAAAGCTTCCACAATCTTCGCGAGTTCAAGGATTCCAACATGACATCATGACTTTGCGTAAACATACACGCCACTTTCAAGTCAAGTGGCGTGTTATCTATACGCATTTTTAGCTATCCGCGTGTATGTCCACGCCGAAACGAACCGCCTCCTTTTGCGTGTATGTCTACGCCGTTAAATGTCCGAGTGATTCCGCGTATATGTACACGCCGTTAAATGTCCGAGCGAAACGAAGCAAAATGTAGATCTACATCTGGGGAGCGATATTTTTTTTCCTAGGATGGTAGGGGAAGACTCATAAATGGTATTAACCCCAGTGACGGGTAGGTTTAGGGACGGGGTTGGGGTAGGTCATATATTTATATATAGCTACAGTAATGTAACGTTAAGTCAACGGCGTTGATAAACACGCTGAAAAGCGATTATGCGTGTTGATAGCACGCCAAAAATGGAAATACGAATTGGCGTGTCATACATACGCCATTTCATGAGATCAGTCTGCCCTGTCACAGGTGTTCAGTTGTTTTGCACCAAAAATACCTAGCTGTGTGACACAGCCTGTGTCATCATCAGAGCTCGTGCAGCCGCTCTTGAGAAGCTCTTAGAAAGTAAAAGAAATGGACACAGCGACCCCATAGATTTCAACGGAGAAAAGTGAAGCCAATTAGAAGCACTCACTTCCTGATGGCTGAGCGTACTGCGCAGGCTTAAACTGAGCTTGTGACGTAAGCAACCTGTCTGACAGTTGTGAGTCTTCTAGTAGCTGTGCCAAGGGGAATCTGAATCATTCCCTTCCGAATCTTGCAGAGACTGAGAGCGTGAGTAGGAGCTGTCCATGAGCTAGCAGCAGGATCAACTTTATGACTCTCTATTGGCTTCTCCAGCCCGATCTCATGAAAGTGCGTATCTATACCACGAATGTCATTTCTCGTGCCATTTATACGCCAAAAATGGTTTTTGCGTCTATATGATACGCAGTTTTCGCCTGCATATGATACGCACTTTATGGCGTGTAATACGCACGCACTCCCCACCCCCCTCCCCCTTAAACCTACCCAAGGGGTTTTCAGTGCGTAGCATATGCACGCAAAAACCATTTTTGGCATATAAATGGCACGAGAAATGACATTCGTGGTATAGATACGCACTTTCATGAGACTGTGTTGTTCTCCCTTGACTTTATCGGACTTTATGCCTCCACGTCCCCCCGATTGACCGCAAGGTTCTCCTCCTGTCTCAGTAATTTCTCTACTGTGCGACAGAGAGTCGCGTGGTTATATGACGCAATCGCTAGCCTATTTTTACAAAAATGGCTTCTACGCCGGGGCCATAACGTAAGATACAAGGTAATGGAGCCTTTTATACATTGTAATTTTTCTTTAGAAATAAACAATGGACAAATGGAGTCTTTAAACGCCTCAGATGTAAAGTTATTCGCCGTCAAAGTGACGCCAAAATGAATGGAAGTCAATGGAATGCTAACAGGTGAAGGCTTGCTAGCCAATGGCGGCCCCCAGGGAGGCTTCAGATTCCGGCTGGTGGATTACCCCCTTGGAGAAGCTCCGCTGGCTAAGTTCTCCGGCTACTCTTGAATCTCTCTCGCAGTACTTTGATGCCATACGTCACAGTCACGTAGCGTCGGCGCTGTATCAAGTCGGACAAAATTTCTAACCGGCATGCACTGCTTCAAGTCAGCCGCCGATCGGTCTGCGCAGAGCTGCATGAAGTCGAACAAGCCTTCTGTATTTTGTCTGTCATGTGATCCCCTGGTTTTAGACTTGTGATCCTGCCATGTGTTCCCTTGCCTGTTGTGCATGTTGTAATTGTTTTATTGTTAATTGTTAACAGGTGTCCCTTGTCTTGTCATTAGTATTGTATATATTTTCTTATATTTTCTTCAACAGTGTATTAGTCTTTGTCGAGTATTGATTATTCAATGTCCAGGGTCCTGTAGTCTTGTTGTGTAGTTTATGTTAATGTTCCTGCTTTAGTTCAGAGTTTTCATGCCTTGATATGTTTTTTTTAATAAATGTATTAGTGCAAAATGACCAACGTTTCGACAAACATGCGTCTTCAGAGTTGGTCATTTTGCACTAATAAATTTATTAAAACGTTCTGTGCTCCGGTCCTGCTCCTTGGTCCCATAGACCTTGGGTCCTTTTTCTCAGATCGTTGTGTCCTGTTCCGAGAGCACTGGCTAGGCTGAGGCGCAAGTGATTCCTTTTTAATGTTTGTTTTTATGTTTGATTGTGTTCTTTTGAATTGTAAATAAATTGCTTTTGGGTTCTCACCTCACTTGCCTCCATTGGACCCTTTGTTACACTAGTACATTGGAGGGAGCATCTGAGTTGGGTTTCCACAGTTGTACCTTGACAGGCTGTAGAGATCTCTGATGGAATCACGTCTATAGAACTTTTTTCCCGATGCGATCGATTAGTACAGACCAAAACTCGACCATTTTTCAGCAGAAATAATCAGCCAAATTTGCGAGTCCGTTCAGTTCAGTGGCATTGTTTATGTTCAGTGCCTCCAAAATGGCCTACTCTCGGATTGATGACGCGTCGTGAAAACCCTCTATATCAAAGATACACAAAGTTCAACTTTTATGAAGTTAAACTGCTTATATTGCTGTGTTATTACTGTATGTTTAAAGGGGTGGTAAAACAAATTTTTTTCGAAGGCTTGATGTGTTTGTGGGGTGCACTGTAACGTGTTCATGCTTCGTTTTTAAAAAATTGCATTATTTTTCATATATTTTACCTTGGTTCTACACTGCTCTGTCCCTCCTTGTAAAAACGGTCTGATGGTTCCCGGGTTCTATGAAGCCAGTCCCTCAAAAATACGCAATTGGTTCGCTGGCCCAGTGTATTGTGATTCGCTAACCGCCTAGTGCACGTTTTTCGGAAACGTCACGCCCCTTACCTTTACCGGTAGTTTGTGCTTTGGTGTATTATAAACAATGTCGTCAATAAAACCATACCAATTTGAGCCCGAATCGGACCCAGAGAATGTTAGTGAAGATGATCGAGCAATGGTTTGTGTTTTGTTGTTGTTGTCTTATACTTTTTTAGATACGCTGTTATGACTGACTGTATGGCACCGTTACTTGTATTTTTAGAACGATTGTAGCCAAATATCTGTCGCCAGAACTATTAATTATCAAAACGAACACTAAACATTGGC